TCCCTGGACCTTCTCCTCAGCATGGTCAAAAAAATCCATCCCAGGACAACCTTTAATCCAAGTACTTTAGCAATTTTATGAGACTTATGAGGTACAAAAGGCCACCAGTAATAATGGATGCCTTTGAAATGTCTGATTTTTTTCCTACATCGTTCTGAGAAAACCGTGCCCAGGGCTGAAACATGGCTCATGGTGTCTCCTGTGCATCCATTCTGCATTTAGGCAGCATGATGACTGAGAACTGATTTTACAGTGAGGAGCGGGCTTCACTTTCAATTTGGAGCATCTACTGTTGCTCTGTGAAAAAGTACAGGAGCATTTAGAGGATCTCTCAGTAATAATCATAGAATCACAGAAAATTAGGGTTGGAAGGGACCTCAGGAGGTCATCTAGTGCAACCCGCTGCTCAAAGCAGGACCAGCTCCAACTAGATCATCCTAACCAGGGCTTTGTCAAGCCAGATCTTAAAAACCTCCAAGGATGGAAATTACACCACCTCTCTACGTAACCTGTTCCAGTGCTTCATTACCCCCCTAGTGAGAGTGTTTTTCCTAATATCCAACCTAAACTTCCCTTGCTGCAACTTGAGACCATTGTTCCTTGTTGTGTCATCTGCCATCACCGAGAACAGTCTAGCTCCATCCTCTTTGGAACCACCCTTCAGGTAGGTGAAGGCTGCTATTAAATCCCCTCAGCCTCCTCTTTTCCAGACTAAATAAGCACAGTTCCCTCAGCCTCTCCTCAGAAGTCATGTGGTCCAGCCTCCTAACCATTTCTGTTGCCCTCTGCTGGACTCTCCAATTTGTCCAATCCTTTCTGTAGTGGGGGGGAGGGGGCCCAAAACTGGACACAGTACTCCAGATGTGGCCTCACCAGTGCTGAATAGAGGGGAATAATTACTTCCCTCGATCTGCTGGCAACACTCCTACTAATGCAGCCCAGTATGCTGTTAGCCTGCTTGGAAACAAGGGCACACTGTTGACTCATATCCAGCTTATTGTCTACTGTAACCCCCAGATCCTTTTCTGCAGAGCTACTGCTTAGCCAGTCCTAAGTGCAGTACTTTGCACTTGTCCTTGTTGAACCTCATGAGATTTCTTTTGATCCAATCCTCCAATTTGTTTAGGTCACTCTGAATCCTAGCCCCATCTTCCAGCATATCTAATATTCCCCCCAGCTTGGTGTCATCTGAGGTGAACCTGCTGAGGGTGCACTGCATCCCTTGCTGAGGGTGCACTCCATCCCATCTTCCAGATCATTAATGAAGATATTGACCAACCCCTGGGGCACTCCACTTGATACTGACTGTCAACTACACATCCAGCCACTGATCACTATCTGTTGAGCCCAGCGATCCAGCCAGCTTTCTATCCACCTTACAGTC